CCTGCAGGACTGATGTTAAGTGCTAGTCCAGGGACAACTCGTCCTTGGCAAATCATTAGTACAGATCTTGTTGGTCCTCTGCCACGATCGTCTTCTGGATTTTCCTATATTTTGACAATATGTGATCTTTTCACAAAATTCTTATTGATTTTTCCATTACGTACATCCAAAGCCAACAGTATAGTGAAAATCTACGAAGAAACTTTTCTGCTATTCGGAGCACCCCAAGGGATGATAATGGACAATGGAAAACAATTTAAAAGTCGGCTCCTGCTTGACTTACTGGCGAAATATGATGTCCACCCAAGATATGTATCCAACTTCCATCCTCAAGCCAATGCTGTTGAACGAACTCACCGTGTGATTAAAACCATTCTGTCTTCCTATGTAAGTGAAAATCATAGAGATTGGGAGAAATATGTTTACCAGGTAGCTAGTGCAATCAGATCCTCACGCCATGAAGTCACTCAGTTAACTCCAAACTTTGTTTTCTTTGGCAGGGAATTATCGTACTCCGGAAAAGTACATCATCCTGAGGCTGAGGAGATGAATGATGTACATTATGATGCGGAAATCAGACATACCGCTTTAGGCAAAGTTTATGCAGATGTAGCAAAGCGTCTAAAGCAAGCATATGAGCGTAGTAGTGTTCGATATAACCTTAGACGTCGTCCACAAAGGTTTACCCTAAACCAGATAGTGTTTAAGAAAAACTATAAGCTGTCAGATGCGAGCAAGGGCGTGACAGCTAAATTGTGCGCCAAATATGATGGACCTTTCAGGATTCTTAAAATTTGCTCCCCTTGGTGTTATGAACTTTGTGACGAAACTGGTAAAAGTCGTGGCGTATGGCATGCAAAGGATATCAAGGCTCATCCACCTGAAGATAATCTAGAACAAAACAGTGAGAGTGAAATGAATGATTAGTGTATATTATAGATTAGTTATAAGTAATGTATATAGTAATAACTTTAAGTACTAAAGTTTTCTAAGGAAAACTTATCCACGTAAGGGGGGAGTTGTTACGTGCACACTTTACCTTGGGAATATTTTACCCTAAAAAGATAAAGATGTCTTCGAAAAAATGAATTTATTCGTAATAAGATAAATCACAATATTAATAATAGTTTTCTTTCATCTGTGTTTCGAAACCCTAAAAATAATAAATATAAATAACAATATCAATAAGATATTTAGGAACATAAAACTTACCAATAGATTTAATCACACCTTTTTTTCTCGCCTTCATCGTCTGCATATATTTTACTAAGTGTAGTTTTACTTCTAAAAACAATACAAAATATAAATCGACATTAGATACCTCACGATGAGTAGAATGTTATTCCAACAAAATACTAAATTATAAATGTTTACCCTATTTAAATAATTTAGAGAAATTTAGTTATTCAGTTAGGTAGTTTAGGGTAGATTTTCTTTAAAATCTTTATTATGATTTTATATATGACTTGTTTATTTCCATCATGTCAAAGTCATTTTGTTGTCAATTTTCTTCTTTTTCAAATACTTCTAATTAATTAAAATAACTACATTAAGGTACAACAATCAGGATAATTTAAATATCTTATCTGGACATGAACTGACCACTGACCACTTTTTATAAATCTTTTTTTATACTCTCATATCTGACCTTTTTGAATAAAATGGCTTCTTGCTGAACCACCTGGGTTTAAGTTTTCGAATTTTCGGATTTATTTAGCCAGTATTTTCAACCCTCATCTTAATTCTTACAAGTAATGTTTCATTTAAGTTGAATCACATATTGTGGATTTTATTGCTTGTAAAAGAAAGGCCCCTCACATCTGTGGTAAGTTCAACCTGTCCATGCTTTCCTAAAAATCAAGTATTAATAATGTTGTTTCCTTTTAGGCCTTTAAGTACTTATTTAAGTACTGATTTAAGTACTTTTACCTTTTTATGCGTTCATTTATTCATTGAATATTTATTTGAACAAGATTATTTGAATCGAGAGATATGACCGATAGATATTGAAGGTTCGGTATCTACCACCGATTCATTGGCACCTTCTGGAGACATCACCAACCATTACCGAGTCCTGAGTTATCAGTCGATAGTAAGACTTCAAATCCCTCAGCCCTCAAGTAAGGACTACCTTTCTTATTTTAATGTACCTGAACGTAGCAGCTCTCATTACCATCTGTACACTAGAGTAAAGTACAATATATATAGTTGATAAGATTTAAGATCATAATTAAAACTCACCTTTTTCTGTGCACCTTATAGTACTACAAGGGGAACTTAATCACCTTTATATTATTAACAGTATAGAGAACATAATAAACATTTGTAGGGGATAATAACTCCATGGTAAATTTGGTGCATCAACTAAAAGATAAAAATATTAAATCAGATCCCAGGACAAAATACTTTCATTTTAACCACCCCACTCTCCGAATAATAAATTTAATAGAGCTAGCTTGGGAAAATAGTAATCTTTGCCACCCCTTACAGTCCTGGGGAGACTAGGAGCGTGGCAAACGATATTGGTGATACTATATAAGTTGAGTATTTGCTGTATGTTCATTGTCTAAAAATATATACTGAGATGGAAATTAATGACGTTACCAAAATGTATGCACTATGCTGTACTGGTGAAGTTTCTAAAAGTAAATTTAAAAATAGAAATTGTCTAATATAAAATTGTATTTATATGCGCTCCACTGGGAATACTTCGTTATATTATGTGTCTTGAGAAGCCAGCACTATACAGAGGCATTAAGGACAAAGGTGGGAAATACTCCCATTTAAAAGCAATTATTGTTGGTATTTCCTGAAATTTTCACAAAAATCGGAATAAAAATAAAGGCTCAGAAAGAATTATAAAATTTCAAGGTGTTCGGTTTGCTCTTAATGCTCGTTTCTTTATTTTTAGAACAATACTGCTCATATGTCCAACAATTTCTGGTTTTCAAATACCACTAGAGTATTTCAAATCCCTCCAGAATTATAAAAAATGGTAAAACTTGCTGTTTATTTTTAAAATTTGACGCATTACTACCCGAAAAATCGAAAATCATATATAGAATTACCTATTATTTAAATGGTCGTAGATAAACCGTCGTATTTTACTCGTAAAGCATGGTTGATTATTATAGTTAAGCGAAGCATAATTTGCTCGTTAAATAATACACTCTTTCAAGCTATTAATAATTGATCACATTTAGTTCATTATTGGAGAATTGTGACATAATTTCTTATTAGTATTACCGTATAAATTAAATATCAATTTTTATTTCATTAGCATACTTCAATAATTAAACCAATTAATTAGAGATAAATACACTTTCATTTGTATCTTGCGAATCTAATTTACATAACAACGTAGATACTAGATTTCATGTAGGTGAAATTAAAATTAACATATTAATAATACGTTTTTTTTTAATAGTTTTTTTTATAGAAATAATTCAATTAAGTACTGTAATAAATGAAGTATTTATGATAGTTTGCATAACAAACACAATTATTATTAATGGGTACTTATATAATAATTGGCATATTCATAATTACATAAGTGGTTCATTACTCGCATTACTGCCTAGAGGTTCGCCAGAAGGCGTATTTATACTTACATTACCGAACACCAACGTACAAATGTTAAGATAGAAATACGTTTATCACATACACCCAATTTGCTGCAATTTGACGCTAACAGATTTGTTGAAATATCATCGTATAGTTGAAGAAATCTATATAGTATGAAGCTTTTGAGCTTTAAAGTCATGTCGCCATATTTCATCAACCAATAATAAAAAAAGGTCAAAAAGCACCAGAAAAAAAAAGGACTCCAAAAGGTTTGTAATTCATATCTGTATATACTTAGTCAATGTTAGTTTCGGATTTAGTTAGTTATAAGTTGACGAATCGAAACAAAATTGAATATAATTAATAAAAAGATTATATACTTTCATATTAATGTTGGAAATAGGTAAAGTGGATGTTTGGAAAACTTTTGTCAATTTTCCTCATATCTGGGGGAAAACTGGCAATGGAGAATGGCAACGTCGCAAAATAGCGTATAACTTTGTTACTATTGGTTCGATTTAAATCGGATCATTCGAAATGTCCTCAGAAAGTCAGCTAAAAATGACAACGTCGAACATGTTTTGTCAACGTCACTTCATCTGTTACGTCAATAAGGTAATTATTGATCCCGGCGAATGACATTTTACAGGTGTTTCAACTCTTTTTAAAATATGGCACCAATAACAGCATAGTATGTAAAAAATCCACTAGATGTCGGTAGAAGATGAAGTACCTCAAATGAAAAATTCAGTTAATTTTGATGTTGATGTTAAAATATACTTTATCTAAATCTTAATGATCAATATATGATCGAATTGGGTACCTCACCTTTTAGCGACCTCTGGTGAATTTTTTGGAACTACGTTGTGTTTGGTGCCATATCGTCTATTGTCTTTCATCGTGTTATTGATTTAAATGAAGACATGGTCCTCAATCCTCATACAGTATTGAAATAACAGAACACAATACTCGTATAGTCAATATACAAGGAAATTTACGTTTTGTGAAACTAAATAATTTCATTTATAAATATTATTCTAAGCATTACTTAATAATACGTCTAATAATATTTAAATTTCTCTAATTAAGATTTTTTAAACATAATGATAACTAATAACTTCTCTGACCTTAGGAAATTATTTATATTACATCTAACTATTTCTTTAATAGTAATATAGACTGAAGAATCTGAAACATATGGTAATTACTAAGATTTTTTATAATATTAAATCTGGACGACATTATTAATTTTACTTCTAATGTGCTCTTTGTTGCACTTACATAATTTAATGGCATGTATGCTGTCATCTGGTATCAAATAGGTAAAACTTAAGTTCCATTAAATAATACCACTATCTCACAATGTACAGAATATGGACCGTGTTTTATAATGGAAACTAGATAAATTATTATAAAAACTTAGATTTAATACTCACGATATATCCTTTTCCTGAACTACATCTACTGCTGGCCTGTAATTAAAAAGATGTATTAAATAACAAAAAAAAATAGTATGTTTAAAAGTGAACAACCTTATCATATAGAATGAGATATGACATGAAATTTTAAGACCATGTATGTTTTCCAGAGCTTACGTTATTTTTATTCTGACTAATGTCCCAGCCAGTGAAGTGTTGTTTATTTAAGTGAGGTTATGATATTATTCGTAGTTTTATTTTAGCGATAAAGAATTGTGTGAAAATGCCAATAAATTACGCAAAATATTGCAATTTAACTTAGGATAACAAAACGTTATTTAAGCCGAGTTTACATGTTGGAAAAAATGTATTTAGAATTTCTGTTATTTTCATCATACTTTTGAATACCTACAATTTTTGTATAACAAGTATTTTTAATTTATTTCAAAAAGCTGCTTTAGGTAAATAGACTTACGATTAGTTACTAAAATGTACAAAGCAATACTAATCAAAGATTTTTGTCTTGTTTGGTTGTATTTCAGCAAACTGCTTTGTCATTTTTTATTAAATATCACTGTCCAGAGAATAAACAATTATTACATGAACAGAATTTGAATAGGTATCCAAGACTTAGGTATTTACGATTACAAATTAGTCTTTTTGTAAGATAAACCATTTGTATTTATTTTATTTATATCGAGTGATCCACAATAAATATTTCTAAAGTACCTAGGCTTTGGAAAAATTCACGTAGGTCTTCTTATTTTTAAGTATCAATTTCATTCAGATCAGTGTGTAGTTATCATGAATATGACTCTCATATCTGTCTTTGTCGATCATGGCCTACTTTAGAAACATTAATATTAAAAAAACATAAAAAAACTTACATCGCTTAGTCGATCCCTCGAGCTATCGGCATCTCGTGGGGCTACGGATGATCCAGTCAGACGTTCAGAAGCCCTGCCACTGTCATCGCTAGTGGCGGGGTCTTGGGTTAACGTCAACCCCTGCAAAAATAAAAAAAAATTCATTATCCTAATATTCAAAGTAAAAAAAAGATTAGATTATTTAAAGCATTTGACACTGTTTTTATCTAACTGCTTTATATTATAGGTAAGTAGGTGTAAGATAGATATAATAAATACAATGGAGATAGAATGTAGTAGAGACGACATAGTTTTTTGCAACATGACAGATGGACGCATCAAGAATGACAGAAAAGTGTAATCAAAATGGCGACTTAAGTACGTTTCAGTAAATTAAAACAAATACAGTGTTCCAAGTAAAAAAATCATAATGATTATGGGTATCCGTATAACACACCAATAAACTGGCCGATTGTATAGACAAGTCGTGTAATTGAATTTCTAGAGAATTTTGGTATTATATTGGTATTATTGAGACGGTGTTGTCAAGTCTAATAATTTATTCGGTACCTATATTAAATAACAAATATATACAATTTTAAATAATATATACACAATGTATATTTCTTTAGGTTACATGGTCAATTACATTCTTTAAACATCAAATAATAAAATTACATATTATAAAAAAATTGTTTTTTTTTTTATAATGAATTGCGTTTGACTTGTTATACTCAGCTTCTTTCTAAGGACATATTCTTATTTGAGCCGGCAACATTGCTATAGACAGCTTGGTCAAGGGTCAAATGGAAAAGAAGATTTCGATTCGAAATCGTTGATCCTGATTTTGAAACAGATACGGCGTGGCAGTGTTGCCGTTAGACTGAAAATTTCCCGCTTAGACAGAAATTTTGGATGTATACAATATTTTTCAATAATAACTCACTTTTCACCCTTATTGACTCGCAAAATGAGGTATGGCTGACATTTTTGTGAAGTAATCATGTTAATATTCTTCTTTTCTATTTTAATATTTTACTAGGTCACTTACTGAACTAAATAAAAAATAATGAATATATGAATTTTTATTGCTAATAAAAATATTTTTAATTCTCCCATATTCTGTTGGCATTTATTTAAATTTCTATTAACTAGAAACTAGACCGTTTTTCCGGAAGCGAGAATTTTGGATTAGGCAACACGGAAAATCGTTAATCATGAAATAAATAAAGAAGGGTGGGGTATAATTTGGGGCACCTACAGGGTACCTGGGTTTATTATTCAGCCAGTCCAATTTCAGTTAAACTTCTGCCAGTAAATGGTTTGTTGTGAAATTTGATCTACATTGGGCCCAATTTAGAGAAATTATTGTAGTGCGTCACCGTTAAATATCGCATTATAGGATTTCTTTTTATCTATTATTTTGTTAACGCACTTGTGCTTCGAAAACAATAAAAAAGTAACGTTAACTATTTTTTTTTTTTTTTCAGTTGATCGCCTATACCTTTAAAAGTTTACATATTTTCAAAAGTATTTCTCAAAAATTAAAAAAAAAATTACTTAAAATAAAAAAGTTAATTATTTTTAAGTTTTCTATCCGCCTATTAAATTTAAGCCAATTTGGATACTTAAACTTGATTTTTTTTGTGTTTAAAAGTGTTATAAATCTGATTTTTAAAGACCTAACTAAAGTTCTTACTAATTCAATACAAGAAATCCGAAGAATCATACCTTTTTGATTTAACATTTTTCGATATTTTGAGAAATCAACAATTATTTGATAAGATATCAAATTACAGGGATAGGCGACCGAAAAAAACAAAATTGTCAACGTCATTTTTATTATTTTCAAAGCACAAACTTTAAATGAATCTAAATTTGCGTAAACTAAATAATAAAAAAAAACATCCCACATGGCGGATTTTAACCAAAATTTATAGAGAATGACATCATCTCTATTCAAAGAAATTTATTACATGAATATACCTAAAAGTAGAAAAACGAGCCCCTTTAAATTACTTCTCCCCATTAAAGAATGCTCTGACAATGCCCAAAATCTAATCAGCTCACCACAGTCCCACTCGAGGTCTAAAAAATCATCATTTCTATACTTTCCTTACTGGTTATAGGAAATTGAAACTGATTTCTTAGTTTATTAGTCATTAAAGCTAATTTAAAAGGGTTGATGTATCTAAATAGCAAAGCATTAATTACCTATACTAAAATGCCACATGAAAGCTTACTCCTTTTTATATGGTATTTGGAGCCTTTATTCGTTAGCTGTATAATATCTAAGGAAAAGACCACTAAATGTCATTCTTTAATTTTATTTGGCGCGTTTACCCATTAGTTGTTTATCTAAAGAAGAGACTACTAAAAATCACTAAACTGTGGTGCAGATACCGTTGAACTAAAATATTACTAAAATTTAGTTACTTTTATTAAATCGGATTACTTTAATACAAAATCAAACTCATGTAGTTATTACACATGCGTTGGAATCAATATGTGTACAGAATATGCTACAAAAATGTTAAGAGGTTATGACATAGTTGAATTTAAAAATTAATTAAGATCATTTAAATTAGACTGCAATAATCAGTGTGACAAATTTATTGTATTTTTAAAAATTAAATTGAATCAAGTTGATTTTCGGAATATAAATTGTATCACAACTTAGCTGATACTTTCAACTATTCTCAAATAATTTGAGAACCCACAAAATCATTTACTTTTTAAACGGCCAGGCTCGACGATTTTACACGCATTTTGTTCGCGCCAATTTTACCGTAAATCCAGCCTTAATCAGTTTTATTCGAGAGCCCGTTATACGGGGTGACAATTAAGAAACTTACAATGGTATTATGCACTAAAGATGATATTAGAAATGCTTAATAAAAAGGGGAAATTTAAACGGTAAAATACAAGACTGTTGCCCATCATTCTCCTATGCGCCATCTACTAAAATAAATAGCAACCCGTGTCATACATAATTGAAAAGCTAGTAAAAAATTGTATTCAACAATGTACATTTTATCCTATACACTTAACCCATATTTCTTCAAATATAGCTCATGAAGGAGGAGGATCGTCAGTTGATTTTTTTATTTTTTTAATAGTACAAAATAATTAAAATTATATTTAAAAAGAAAATGGTATGTTTATCTCCATTAAATATTTTAAAATATTTCTAGTACATGTGTAAAAAATAAATTGTGTATATTTGGTTTTATTTTCATCCTTCGTTCATTTTTAAGTTTAAGTTTTTAAATTGTCACTCTGTATGTTAAAGAACACGTCATCATATCGTGATAATATTTTGGCTTGTAATACTTGAAAACGACGTTTTATATAATTATCCTGTCGCATAATCTACTAGTACCGATAAACATATTATTTAACTAATTAAAACAAAAATGGTTGCTAAGTGAATGATACATTTTAGGTTAAATGATCGTTGAACGTTTCTGACGGAGGACATGAGATCCGTAATATGATGATCACATACATCAACGCACTATACGAAATTAGATATTGTCTGACATAGATATGCAACAAAGCAAGGGTGTAGGCAAACAAGGGTAACTTAAGTAAATACTGCCTCCTCAAAAAATACTTCACTCAAGCTTTTAGATCGTAATGTAGGAATTGATATTCGCGACGTTAACAGCACTGGGCAGTAGTTCTACTCAAATTTTATAAGAATACAAAAAATAACAAGGCAATTATACAATATACTTTCGAATATATATTAAGTGTTGTTTTTAACTGCATGTAAAGAAATCAGTTAAACAAACAGGAGCCAATAGATGTTGTTACACCATTTTGAATTTATAATTCGATTGTTGTAACCTTTTTTGGTTCTAGTCTGATAATTTTACTTTTTTATTCTAGTGTCATAAGGCGTGCTGCCTTTTTATGCCAAAGAAGGCAGCAAAGCACCTCGGGAATTTTGAGTTGAAACATATGCCACATTTTTATACCCTATTCAAAAATTTTATGCTACTCGTTTTTTGCAAAAATCAAGGTGCTCTGCTAGCTTCGAACAAAGTCAGCAGAGCAACTAAGTTTTTTAAAGCTTTTTTCAAAACCAACGACACCATATTTTCAGGCTATTTTTAGGCTCTTAAAATATTATAAAACTTTTCTAAAAATTTTGTTATTTTTAAAAAATAAATTTTTTTTGAAAAGTTATATATTATTGTAAGAGCCTAAAAATAGCTTAAAAATGTAGCATAACTAGTTTTCCGAAAAAAAAAAAAATAATAATAAACCGAGGTGCTCTGCTGACTTTGCTCCAACAAAGCACCCTGTATTATTTAAAAATAGCAATTTTTTAGTAAAGTTTTATAATATTTCAAGAGCCTAAAAATAGCCTAACAATATGGTGTCATTGGTTTTGAAAAAAAGCTTTAAAAAACTGAGGTGTTCTGCTGACTTCCTTCGAAGTTAGCAGAGCACCTTGATTTTTGCAAAAAACGAGGAGCATAAAATTTTTGAATAGGATATAAAAATAGCCTTAAAATAGCCTAAAAATGTGGCATATGTTTCAACTCAAAATTCCCGAGGTGCTTTGCTGCCTTCTTTGGCATAACTTTTTTGTTGCAACATGTCACAATTCTACTACTAATTTTATTTCATTATCAACGTGTTTTAAAATAATGATCTAATTCAGGATCTGTAATTTTTCAGGCCCCAAAGTTTATCATGATACATTCCGTGGTATTTTAAAGGTCACGGTCACAGTAAATCATGTGACAGCGATAGGGGCGAATTATCTGCAAAGACGCAGACTCACATGGGCACGCATAAATTCGCACGAACATAACGTGTTCTAACTCTGTAACACACCCTAGCCTCGCGGGAGATTTCAATTAGTCCTCCCACAACCGAAAAAAAAACATAATATCCCTTTGTTAATCCAGCAAAAGTGCGTCGTCCCTTGGACCCAGATGCCATGTCCCCTGATCCGAGGGGATAAATAATGCAGATTGTGGTGTTTATTAGACGACAGGGAGTTATTTGCGAAGAGATTAAAGATTAGTGCTAGATTTTATCTATTTATCCCGGCAGTTCGGAAAAGAATTATAGAGGGTCGCAATTCGTGAAAGCAAACTTTTTCATACGGAAGAAAAATAAAA